CAAACTGTAGATCATAATTCAAATTTTGACACTATATATTACTAAATTTAGAAGTAAATATTAAATAAACACAGATAAACATTGATTTGTGTATGTCACATGGTATGTTGAATGCAGCACTGGTTCAAATTAGATGTCTGTGAAGTCAAAATACGAAGTCTATAGTTTCGTATAAGTCAGAAACTCAAATTACTGATATTGACAAGCTAGAGTATAAAAGAAGAAGGTCTTATCTTTTCTATTTGCTAAGATATTGCTCTTGTAATAAATCAAACACAGTGGCATCATGTCCACCTCTTTCCATTTTTAGAAATGCTCTTTTATATAACCATACTTCTATATGTGACATGCATAACCAATCAGAAGCTCAGAATGTCCTCCTAGTGGCTTTCTCAGCCATTTTAATGGGCTTGGAAGCCATTTATTTCTTTTGAACCAATATTTCAAGGAGATAGGTTCTGTTCGAAATTTCATATTTTTTTAGACTAAAATACATCTTAGTTACTGAGCTTGATAAATTATAGTGGAATTCTATGGTATTGATGTAGTAATTTATGATTTTTTAGTTATTCAAATGTAAATATAAAACCTAAAAAAACATTTGTTTTACATCCTCTACGTGCAAAATGTTAAAAGGCTTAGCAATCTACGTGAAGCAGCAACCGAGTACAAAGATTGTAACTAGAAGAGATAATTGTTTGCTTTGCTTCTTTATTTACTGTTCTATGTTTTAAAAAAAATAACTTTAAGAAGTTATTTCAAAATAGCAATAATCAATATACATATATAATGTATAATAATTGAAATGTGACTGTATTTTACAAAATACTAGTCTATTAAAACACAGTTTTATGTTATTTGATTCAGTAACATAGTTGCATGTGCCCCACATCGTTGTAACTTCTGTATTGTTAGCCAAGCATGGCTGAAAGGTCAATGTAATAAAAATAATAAATATATATAAATTTGTGTTCATTCTAGAATGAAAGAGGCATAATTTATATTTTTTTCTTAATTTTTTTATGGTGGTTGCGAGATCGGTCCAATCCACTGAACCCATACAGAGATTCATTACTGAAAATAACAGATAAAATATAAAGTTTTTTCTTAAGAAACATGTGATAACTATCTGGACATTATAAAGATTTCACATATGAAATTTGAAAATTTTCTGATATATAAAAGTATTTTTAATCTTAAAATGAAAATTACTTTTGCATGATAGATAGGCAACATGCGAAAAAAAAAAGGCATGAGAAAAAGATTGGTTTACAAACCTTAAGACTTAATAATATAAAAAATTCATATTTTGTGTATGAAAGCATTATAATGTTTACTGATAATCTGCCAAATTTCGTTAACATTCGCTTACTGATTTAAAAGTTGTAGCATGAAAACTATAACAAACACTAAATGGTTACGAGGTCAGTCCCAGGGACCGAGCCCGTACTGAAAGAGTTAATAGTAAGACAGATCAAGTACAGCTCACATTAGATATTCTAAAGATTGATAGTAAGACAGATCAAGTACAGCTCACATTGGGTGTTCTAAAGATGTGACAACCAAGTAGACCTTTGTTTTCTCATATTGTTTAACGGTTTATTCTAAAATTAGAAACTACAGTGTGTTGGCTTCTTTTTGGCAATAATATCAACATTAAATAGCAACTTTTTTTATTTAGAATTATATTGACTTACATTGATGCTAACAGTTAATTATTACACAAACTATAAACAGTCAGTATGTAGATATTAGTTAATTGCCTATCTACATCTACTTTAAAACATCTATTACAATAATATGTCACTATACCTCATAAGAATATCATCATAATAACTTCTTATAATTAACTATTAAGCTGTGACAAACATTCAGTTAAACTTTTCTTAATATTAATGTTCTATCACCAGAGTGTGTCATACTGTACAGTTCAGCAGTGTTTCTCTTTTTTTGGAATATATTGCTGATTGTCAATAGCCAGAAATTACATTTTGTAAAGAGCCTGAATCATCTAATATTATGATAAAATAATGGGTCTGAATGAAGCCAGTCTCCTCCTCGTATAATGACAGTTTCCTTTAGTTTAACGATTTATACAAGTACTCGTAATTTAGCAATCCAGAAACATTAGAGAAGGAAATTCAATACATTACAATTCACATTCCATCCTTTAATAATATCTCTTATACAAATGTTATTATTGTTCTTAATGTTAAAATTCAACAAATTTGCCAACATATAAGTTTTTATCTCAAACCGTTTTGAGAGTTTTAGTATTAATTGGATAAGTCTCAGTTGATTTGCAGGTGGGTTTTTTGTTATTGATAACTCCATAAGAACTATTTATATTTTTTTCTTTTTACATAATGTCATTTTGTTGCATTGCTTTCACATTTTTGATTGTGCGTACTTGTTGATTCGGTAATTTTCAAAAGTACAGAGCTGCTTAAAAATATTTTGCATTTAATTTTTTCATAATATAACTGTATTGTAATGTTTTCAATGACTTAAAATTGAATTGCTAGTGTATGTGGAAAGCATTAATTGGTCTCAGCACACAAATATGTTAGTAGGGTGCTTAAATAAATTGTAGGATTAAACTTCTTTTGTATTTGAGAGGGTTACTTAAATTCAATATTTCACCTTTGAAAGTTAGAAACTGAATTGGTTTGATGCTTTCAGCACAGCGAATGCTGACCCAGAGTTTGAAGGACGAGGTGGTGAGGATCTCGCCCTTGGAATTAGCAGCGCTCTCTCCCAAGCATTTAGCAGTAGTAACTGCCTAGACCTCTGTTCTCTCTGTGTATTACCTGGGCAACAAGTGTGGCTGTTGTATGTAGACGTCTTGGTAAGTGCATGGTTATCAGTTTAGGTGTAATATGTAAATATCTTGGTAAGTGCATGCTTATCAGTTTAGGTGTAATATGTAAATATCTTGGTAAGTGCATGGTTATCAGTTTAGTTGTAATATGTAAATATCTTGGTAAGTGCATGGTTATCAGTTTAGGTGTAATATGTAAATGTCTTATTAAGTGAATGGTTATCAGTTTGAGTGTAATGTGTAAATATATTGGTGGTGCATGGTTATTATATTTACATATTACACCTAAACTGATAACCACGCACTTACCAAGATATTTACATGTTACATCTAAACTGATAACCATGCACTTAATAAGACATTTACATATAAACCCAAACTGAATCATACACTTAATAAGACATTTACATATTACACCTAAACTGATAACCATGCACTTACCAAGATATTTACATATTACACCTAAACTCTTATTAAGTGTATGATTCAGTTTGGGTTTATATGTAAATGTGTTATTAAGTGTATGATTCAGTTTGGGTGTAATATGTAAATATCTTGGTGGTGCATGGATATTAGTGTAGGTGTAATATGTAAGTATTATGGTAAGTGCATGGTTATCAGTTTAGGTGTAATATGTAAATATCTTGGTAAGTGCATGGTTATCAGTTTAGGTGTAATATGTAAATGTCTTATTAAGTGTATGATTCAGTTTGGGTTTATATGTAAATGTGTTATTAAGTGTATGATTCAGTTTGGGTGTAATATGTAAATATCTTGGTGGTGCATGGATATTAGTTTAGGTGTAATATGTAAGTATTATGGTAAGTGCATGGTTATCAGTTTAGGTGTAATATGTAAATATCTTGGTAAGTGCATGGTTATCAGTTTAGGTGTAATATGTAAATGTCTTATTAAGTGTATGATTATCTGTTTGGGTTTAATATGTAAATGTCTTATTAAGTGTATGGTTATCAGTTTGGGTGTAATATTTAAATATCTTGGTGGTGCATGGATATTAGTGTAGGTGTAATATGTAAGTATTATGGTAAGTGCATGGTTATCAGTTTAGGTGTAATATGTAAATATCTTGGTAAGTGCATGGTTATCAGTTTAGGTGTAATATGTAAATGTCTTATTAAGTGTATGATTATCTGTTTGGGTTTAATATGTAAATGTCTTATTAAGTGTATGGTTATCAGTTTGGGTGTAATATTTAAATATCTTGGTGGTGCATGGATATTAGTTTAGGTGTAATATGTAAGTATTATGGTAAGTGCATGGTTATCAGTTTAGGTTTAATATCTAAGTATCTTGGTAAGTGCATAGTTATCAGTTTAGGTGTAATGTAAATATCTTGGTAAGTTCATGGTTATCAGTTTAGGTGTAATATGTAAATATCTTGGTAAGTTCATGGTTATCAGTTTAGGTGTAATATGTAAATATCTTGGTAAGTTCATGGTTATCAGTTTAGGTGTAATATCTAAATATCTTGGTAAGTGCTTGGTTATTAGTTTGGGTGCATCTTTCTTAAGTATTTACAGAAGGTTGAGAATCTTATTATAAAAATTTTTTTGTAGTCTCACCACATCAGGTCTGAAAAAGACAGACCAATATTGTTTCGATACATGACGTATGTTCCTTCAGAAATAAATTGCTTCATTATGCTTATAAACCATTGTTTGCAAACTTATTATCATGATGCCCTTTCAACAAGTTCTTTTAACATTCAAATATTCAGCGAGGTTGTGCTAACTAGTCATCATCCTTTGTTGTCCATAAGACAGTTATAACACATGTTGGAAGTTTGGAGACTTTGGGGTTCTATTTCAGTCAGTGCCCAGTGCTAGAGCTATCAGTACATGTTCTGTTAAGGTTACTTGAATTCTTCTTAACATTAAATACTTGCACGTTCATTGATTCCTTTTTTAAATGTGTGCCAGTTAGGTACTGGCAGCACATTGCTGACGTGCAACTTTCAGCTTGAATGAGCTACAGAAATGTGTCAGTTGTATTGATAATTATCACTTCTAATGTACAACATTTCCAACCAATGTTTGAGTATCCATAACTTTTTCGACTACAGCTCAAGTTATCCTACCTTCGCTAAAAATTATGTTTCCAAATCACAGTTTAACTATCCAGTGCTGAAGAAATGCCAGGTTTTGTGCAAGTTAGAGGCTGTGACACATTTCTAAAATAGAAAGTGTTAATGCAGAATGCTAAGTGTCTTTAGTTTTGACATATCCACAAAATAGCCAGTTTCTAATGAATTTCTAGAAAAGTCAGTTGATTCAAAAAGTAGCTGTTAATATTTTTTTCTTGTACTCTCAGTCACAAGAGTGCCAAAATATCCTGTTTCATAGCTTCTGATTTAATATTCATTTTATAATACTTTTCCAAACAATTTGTTCAATTGCCCATCGAATCACATGAGAATTATTATATAATACCAAATACCCATTGAAACAATTCAACAATAAATTTCCTAAAACTAGTGATGAAGAAATAAATGTGCAGTCAACCCAGTGCCTTGGATCATAGTATATATTCAATATGATTGTCTAGTGGGCCATTTACAACCGTCTTTTGTCATTCCATGTTTTATTTCAATAAGGAAAATTGTATTGCATTTGTTTTAAGCAAAGGAGGCTGACTGTAATGCATTGTTGACAAAAATGTTTGGGTTTTGATGTGATGGATACATCCAGCACAATGGAGCATTGGGTTTTTTTTGGTTTTTTTGCTGGATGCCACCATTCCTTGTCATTTTACTGAGTGCAAGAAAAGACTGCTACCAAAGTGAGCACCTTTTGATAGTTGTCACTTCTGTAAGGGGAGATATTCAATTCAATTTATTTGACATGGTACAATAAAATCATTCGTGTTATATAATACCAACATGGAAAAACAAAACAATGTTCTTGCTCCTACTTTCAAAAAATATTTCTTTCAATCAGTCAACAGAAGAAGTCCTGTTTTTGTGTGTGTGTTTGTGAAATTTCCTCATAAAAAAGAAGCATTCCTGTTCTTAAGTTTTTTCTCAGATTGATTGATCAGCATATACAGAGACTAATGGATTGATGTTGGCATCCAAATGAAATTTTAGGAATTGACAAAAAGTGAATAATTTTCCTGTAATGTACTCTTGAAAGGAAGCATTTTAATATATAATGTATTTCTACAATTAACTGTTCAGGAGATACAGAGCATGACATACAGACATTTGTCTATTATATGTATATATATACTTTGGTGACAGATTTTCTTATAGGCAGATTTTGTTAAACAAGACCGATGTCTGTAGGTTTACTTTCTTCTTAG